GTGCAGCTCTGTGGACTGTTCATCTTGCAGTCTTCAAGGTTCTGACTTCAGAATTAGTCCAGCTGTCTCTAAATCACAAAATCTAAATAACAAAAACTAAAACTATTTGTGCTTTTCTCATTTTTGTGATTTTTTTTTTTAGATTCGGTTACATTTAAATGACAGATTAGCAATGAGACTCACCATAAATGTTTCCTTGTCCTCGCCTTAGCCTTTTAAAAAGGAAATGCTAAAACACCCCCAACAACTTCATGTTATCAAAAAACAGCTTCCTGTGAATTAAAGAAGAAGGAGGAGACTTCAACTACAGTTCGTACCATATGAGTAACTGTTTTCATTTTGACTGAGACAAAGTTTTCTTGTGTGTGGAAATGCTGCACACATGTTTGCCATCACTGAATATTTTATTCATGTGCATTTGTTTGTGATTAAAAAACACATTGTTTTTAACGCTGTTTATTCTTTTATTATTTGATGTCTATGTTTGAGTTCCTTCATTTTCTCTGATAAAATAATTACTAATTTTCAGTATTTTTAAAATTAATTTCATTTATTTTGCCATCTGTCTTGGTTGGTGAGAGAAAAATGACCAGACAGCGTTCCTCCCTGGCCAAGATGTGTGTCTTTGCAGTCTATTTACACCTAAAAGCCAGTGGACACTCTTTCAAGGATGAGGATGTTCACATCTTGGACAGGGAGGAACACTGATTTGAGCGCGGAGTCAAGGAGGCCATTTACGTGAAAAGGGAAAGACCATCTGTTTACTTTGCCTGATAGGCCGAAGGAGACTGTCTCAGCTGAACTATGGACACGCACACACATACACTTACACTGATAGGCACTCACTCATCCCCCTTCCCTTTCCAACGCCTTTGATGCTTGTTTCCTGCGAGGGAACGCGGCGGGCTGTGTGCCGCGCTGGAATGGTAGCGCTGTGCAGGGTGGCTGCTGTGTTTGCTTCGGATTACTCCTCACCCCCCACCCACCCCTGTGGCTTGTCATGTCTTCACAATGTTGTGCTGGGGACATTTATGTGCTTTTTTGTGCAAAGGAGTTTTTTTGTTTCCTGTTCTCATGCTGTCCTACCATGGAAGCACAGCATGAGTAGGGGTCTCTTTTTCCTCTTGTAACTTTCCCCACTGTAGTGTACATTTCAATGTTTTTTTCTCTGATTCTACCAATCTCCGACCTGTATCCCCATGTAATGTTGTGCTATATGTGTAAGGTCGGGGGGGTCCCATTTCACTGCAGGGCAACCTGCATGTGAGAATAAAGCTTTGATTGATTGATTGATTGATTGATTGATTGATTGATCTCTGAATCGAGGAGGAGGCCTAAGGGTACATCGTTCGCCATCTTACAATGCTGTGATTGCAGCCATTCCCCAACTCTCTGTGAATGGTACTCATGGCCATTGATCAGTGGTCTTTGATCAGTGGGTTTTGGTCAGTGGTTGTTGATCAATGGTCATGAGAATTTGCATAATTAAGATTAAGGAACTGACCTCCCAGCCCATTGTTCCTTCAGTGGGCTGGTTTCAGTCATTATGCAAATGTACTGTTTATAAGATTGGGGAAACCTGCAGTCAGCTGAGACTGAAGAAGTCACCTGGATGAGTGACGAAACGTTTCTCCCACAAAACGCTACGTCCAGATGAACAGAATCAACTTTTGGAAATTTACTTTCCTGGATGATTGAGAATGCATCAAGAAGATTATGTATGAATGATTTTCCCTGGGTTGTGTGAAATTCCAGAAAAAAAATAAACCCATACAAACCGAATCGGTGCACTAAGGTGTAGGTCTGTTAGGGGATGGGTGTTGACACTGGAGTGCAAAATTAACACCAATGGAAGATAGACATGAAAAGGTCAAAGGGAGGGAGTGTTTGCCCAGGGCACCAAACAGGCTAGGACCGCTCCTGTGATCATGTGACTCAGATAAAGACATGAGAAAAAGTCAGTCCCTTCACTGCTGCTTTTTGCCTCATTATTAACATGTGACTGTTCTAATCTTTCTTTAAATTTCAGAATGTATTCTTAAAACACTAAAGGGCCCTCCAATTTGCTGGCATATAAATAAAACTTGCTAGTCTCACTTTCAAAAAAAAAAAAAAGAAATCAAATTCATGAATCAGTGGTTAACCTATGTACATGTCTTTGGATTGTGGAGGCAGAGAAAATGCAAATTTCACAGTGAGAGCCACAGGAAAGTTTGAACCCAGAACGCTCTTGATGTGAGGCAACAGTGCTAAACACTGCACCACCATGTCAACTAAGCTTTATGCAGATAAAAATATTACATGTTTTTCTTCTATTCTGGGAAGTTTTGTTCAGACTGGTGGTTGTTTGATGATGAACACTCACGTCTCACTGAAGCTCTGTTTTTCTTCACCTTCGTGTTGATGAATTTAAAGGACTGAGAGTTCCTCGTGCTTAAATAGTTACATTTTCCTTAAATTCAGATCAATGAAACATTTGTATTCTGTCATTTTTAGGATTCAGATAATTTGTTGGTCAATAAGCTGATATCTTTTAGACATCTGGTATATTTAGCTTAAATTTATAAGACAGAGCGGGAATCTTTTACTGAGAAAAGTATGAGAGTGTGCCCTGAAACCACACAGTACATAATCTTCGTCTGCACTGTTTGTGTGGAAAAATGTGTGAAAATAACATCAACAAGAAGTCAACACACTGAAAGTGTTTATTACTCAAAAACACAGCACATCTCATATATGATGTTAGTTACATTATATTTATCAAACATAAAGCTTGGATCAATGGTAACCAGACTCTTCCTTTTTTTGGGTTTTTGTATTTTTGGTAAATTTTCAAAGAAAAAATGAGGCAGTACTGTTAATACAAACAAATCACCAAAATATGTTTTTCAGATTTATTCAAGATTCAAGTTTATTTTATTTTTCTAGAAAGAAAATCTAGAAGGGATATACAGTTTAGATATTAACTTTATAAACATATCACAACTCCAACATCTGTGTCTTTTACTGAGATCATTTTATAGGCTGACTGAATTTTAGACAGTTGCACATTTGCAGTTTTCAGTTATTTCTGACAAATACTTTTTTGAGGCCTTTTGCAGAATGTAAGCTTAGCTGGACCTAACCCATGTGTTGTCTTCAGCTGAGTATATCAGTCCGATCCAGAACATATCATCATTCATGATTTCTTTCAGCTTACTCTCCAGGAATTTCTGAAGGAATTTGTATTCAAATTATTCTGAGGTGTTTCTGTTATGTGATAATGAAACAGAAAAATGTTATCAAATATGTGAGAACATGAACATGCAGCAGTGTTTTATACCTGCTCCTTCGTGCTGTCTATCTTAACCAGATACCCTTTTTTAGCTCTACATTCATCTCTACTCTCGTTCCAGGAGGTTTTACTGACGGAAACATAATAGCACTTTCTTCCATGTTTCTTCCAGCCATCTTCACATTTATAGGATTGCTTATCTTTGAGGAGATTACAACAAAGACTTCAGTCAGGTGGAAGAAATCACTGTAAATATGTGTGTGCTTTGAAGGCAGCAGGGGGCTCCCTCTGTCCAGCAGTTACATTCCAACTTCCAACGTTTCAGCGTTTCTTTAATCATCATCATCATCATCATAGGGTTTAAAAGTGTCAAATACAATCACACCTTTCTTAGTTTTACTTCAAGAGGATCCCAGAACACATTTAAAATTTTTTTTATAAAATCATTTGTCATGGGTTGGATATTACCGTAGCATCGGTTTTGTGTGCTCAGTTTGAATTATAAAGGTCATAAATATTTGAATCTTTAAAAAGTGTACTGGCCTTAGATACTCACCTCTCAACCTTTTGTTTTCAGCTTCACATTTGACTTCCAGGTTTTTGATAGTCTGGACTGATGTTAAAAAAAAGAAAAAGTAGAAAACAATGAAAACTATTTCTTTATTTCATTTTTATCACCTACTTATTTATTTTGAAAAATACAAACACATACTCACTGGTAACACCAAGACCAATAACAGCAGCTGCCAGGAGAACACTGAGAACCAGCAGGGCTACTCTCTCTGAGGTGATCTTTGACCCTTTAGAAGACACTGCTTGTTGAGAATTCTCTAAAGAGGTGAAAGAAGCAGAGATGAAAGATATCTGTAAAAATGTGGGGAGTTTTTGAATGCAACATCCTGTTTACAGATTTTAGTTGTGTTTGGTTTAATTAAATTGCTGTCTATACTAAACATGTTCACCTAAAAACAAATCTGATGAAATCAAGATAAAAAATCAGTTTATCAGTTATGGAAGTTACTTAGATATAAGGGTTTACAGCAATGGTCCGAGTGCCTCAAGACAGCAGTCTTGGACCATTCCTGTACACCGTTTTTAGAACTGTTGAGCTACTGATTTACTTGGAATCCCTGGATGTGTTGCTGGATGGTGTCTCATCTGGGTTCCACATTGCTGATCTGATCTATCAGATCTATGTTCATTCATAGATCATATGGAGCTTCATGGTTTAGTGGTTTACATATTTGCCTAGCATGCGAAAGGTCTATTGTTCAGGGCAGAGAAGATAAGATAAGATAACCTTTATTAGTCCCACACGTGGGAAATTTGTTTTGTCACAGCAGAAAGTGGACAGTGCAAAGTTATATAGCAAAAATTAGAATACAATAAGAATAATATACTGTACACAACTGTACAGAATAGAATAGAATAGAATAAAATACTGTATACAGTAGAATAAAATATACAATAGGATAAAAATAGAGTATAAATGCTATATACAACTGAGTAAAAATACTATGGGTGCCGCAGCCTGCCACTGAAGGAGCTGCTCAGCTCAAACATACAGCGTGCTGGGAGCATCGATCACCTCTGGCAGAACCTTAACAGCACTCTCAGGGAGGCTGAAGTTACCAGAGATGGGCAGTAAAATGCTAAAAGTAACGCATTACTGTAATCCATTTAAATTTTCAAGTAAAGTAAGGGATTACTATTGCAAGAAAGTAATTAAATTGGTGTTACTTTACTGTAAGCAAGCTGAATCTTTGATTTTATTTATTTTTTGCTGTGTTTTACTTGCATCTATTTGAAAGTGCGAGCGTAAACACAAAAGATTATTTTATTTGACCTAAGAACTGCTCACAAATATGATTTCAGCATAACACTGTACTTCCTTTCATTGCCAACACTTTCCACACTAGTGTGAAGCGGACACATACTTCTGTGACTCCTGAATTAACATGAAGTGACAACCCTTCAGAGGTACATCTTAAAAAAAACATAATTTTCAGTAAAAAATGCCACTGCCTACAAAATGCTTCTTGATACATTGTTTTTTGCCCCCAACACCACAGAAAAGTGTGGAAAAAATGGATGTGTATAAAAAGTACTACAAATAGTTTCCAAATCCAGACCAATCTTGTGATTTGCCTCATGACTGACACTGACTGGTGGAGTTTTTGCCTGCTTTTCCTTTTACCTACCAGGCTGTTGTGGATGGCTGTCTTTGAAATATTGACTTCTGAGTAAGTAAGACAAAAACATTAAACCAGAGTCCTTCTCAGTGTCATGTAAATGTCTACTCACTGCTAATAATCCATTCAAATCACACTCAAACATCATTAAACAGAAATTACTCTGTTGAGATTTTTCTTCAAAATCATATACACCGCTCATAGATAAATAGACTGACCGATGGACTCCCTCCTCACTTTAAACTTTACAGCAGAGTACAGTACTTCAGCTTCCGGCATGGTTACCGTCAGTGAGTCTGAAAGAGAAGTTTCACAAGATGCAGAAAACATGAAAACAAACTTTTGTTAAACAGAAGAATGGGAAGGACTTTATAGGCCACTGTGTCATGGCTGTGGTGGCCTCTAGAGCTGCTGGCCCTCTTGTTTTCTCTTTTCTACTTGCACTATAACATAGCTGTAAGAAAAACCGAGCAATGATTATTTGTGGCAAAGAAGTTAATTACATTCACATCACTCTTTTAAACTGTAAATACAATTTTCTTTTATGGATTAAATACACTTACCGGTAGGGTTGCCAGCTGTCCTGTTTTAGCCGGGACATCCCATGTAATGAGCAAAACTGGTTCGTCCTTTATTCTACCTTAAATGTCATGTATATTAACCTTTACCTGCAATGTCACATACAGTGCATATTTACACTATACCCAGCTGGTTGTGCATTGCACTTCTGACACGCCAGAGAGCCCTTTATTTATCCGTTAAAAATTTTGCAACCCTACTTATTGACCACTTCAATAGGTACACCAGCTGAACTGCTCGTTAATCCAGATATCTAATCAATGAAGCAATTGGCAGCAACCCAATACATTCAGCCTTGAAGACTTGGTCAAGAAGACCTGCTAAAGTTCAAACCAAGACTGTGAATGTAAAAAAAAAAGGTGATTAAAGTGACTTTGAACCTGGTGTGGTTGTTGGTGCCATACAGACTGGTCTTTTCAAAGGTTTACAGAGAATGATCCCAATAAGTGAAAATGTCCAGTGAGCGACAGTTCTCTGGGTAAAAATACCTTTTTTTAAAGCTACAGGCAAGACGTTAATGGCTAGAATGCAAGTAACTCAAATAACTAGTTTTTGCAACCAAGGTATACAGAAGAGCATCTGTGAATGTCAAAACGTAAACCAGATGGGCTACAACAGGTAACAACGTGAAAGCATAGCTCAGTCCTCCGTTTTTTGTCAGGTATGGCTATGTGGCAGGCAAAGCAGGACCCAAATGCAGGACTCTGAGTCAATGGGGAATAGACTGAGGAAGGCACTTTATTGCTGCAGCTTGAAAGCTAAAAAAACAAAAACTCATACGAGGCGGAAACTTGAACTGAGAGACTAGGAAACAAGAAACTAATGGATAACTCAAGAAAACATCACATGAGAGGACTGCAAGCAGATGAAGACAGAAGACTTAAATACACACAAGACAACAAAGGTGGTAAACAGGAGGGAACATAGCTGTTTCTTGTTCAATAGCTTCTCTCATTCTCCTGCTCAAAATCATGTTCATGTGCCTCGTGTCATAGTTATCATAGTTGTCATAGTTGAGTCATAGTTCCTCAGTCTCGTCTCAGTTGTCATAGTTATTTAGTTTTCCCAGTTTAGGTTTTCAGTTAGTTCTCGCCCCTGTTTGTCTGCGTTTGAGTTTTGTGTTCATGTTTACCAGCCAAAATAAACAGCTCACTTTTGTTTAACCCCTGTTTCACCTCCCTTCGTGACTGCAATTGGGTCCACTTTTTCACATCCTCGCACAGTCACCTCCCGCTGACTGTGACAGAACGATGACACTTTTATCAAGGCTAAAAGTGTTGTACTTGTGTATGGGGGATATTTGAGTTTACTTTACTTGAGTTTTATTGCCCTGTCCATCCCTTTATGACCACAGTGTAACCATCTTTTGATACACAGGTGCTCAAATGATCTCAAACTAGTTTGTTGAACATGACAGTGAGCATCTAAAGGCTCACAATCATCACATCTTTAATCAGAGCTTCAGAAACATGTAAGAAAGAAAGCACACCCTCTCTCCATCCTAAGGTTTTACATACCAGGACATAATAATAATAATAATAAAAAAAATCTGGTCCTTACCAGGTTGTAAAATTATTTAAATACAAACAACCTAAAGTATGAAAGCTGTGTGTAAAAAAAAAAAAAAAAAAAAAAAATCCCCTTAACAAACAAATACATTTGGTGAGCTATCCCTTTAAGTGTGGTGATAACACGCTGTGGTTTACTTGAGCACATAAACCCAGAGAACAACAGCAACAGGAAACACAACACTTTGTACTTTGGTTAACATGTCAGACCTTGGTTAGTCATAACTTTAAAAAGCACAGATCAAGAGCACAAACCAGAAAAAAATAAGACATCTGATCTCACATGGACAAGAGCTGCACCGTATTTGAGCTCCAAGGTGTTTTGCTGCTGTTTGCCACAAGTATCTGCATGACAACCACCATAAGAGCTGGTCACGTTTTCTTAATACTCAGGAAAGGTCCTTCAGTGCTTCATTTATTACCTCCTAACCATCCTTGATGAGAGGAAATGTCCTCTCAAACCACTGATGACAGAAAGATCAACACAACTGATGATTGACTCAGATCACATAAATGTTAATTGATGTGTTTTCCATATAATGCCAGAACCTGCTGATTGTTTTGAATTTACAACAACAGAAAAATCCACAAATGAACTCATGGCCAAAATGCTTCTCTGATGAAATTAGTTTCATTTGAAATGGTTATCTTGTGTGAAGAACATAGATTTAAAAATGTAAAAAAAAAATAAAAAGCTCCATAAAGTAAGATTTGGATTTGTGTTAAAATTATCGGACTGAGTATAAGGTTCATGAAAATTCAGTTTACAAAGTTTTGTCCTTATTTTAAAGTTGCTTTATTGCATTTATTAATCTGTTTTAGCTCAATCCTAATCGAAGGCTACTTCCTGCCCATAAAGACTAAAACTCACAATGACCTTTTTTATGTACAGATTCAAATTGGGCTTTAATTTCTGTCTACTTTCTGTTTTGTTGCATCTACAACCAAGACCAACTGAGTGTCACCAGTTGACCTAAAAAGTGTGTTTTTGGACTGAAAGGAGAAGGTGGAGTACCCAGAGGAAACACAAAATGGTGTTTCTGTGTTGTTCTGTGGACAGCACAATGTGTCAACTTGGTCCAACTGAAGCATAAAAACATTTGTTTTGTGAATATTCAAATTTTACTCAAGGTTTGACAACAGTGTAAGAACTGTTTGTAGTGCTTAGATTTGGTACAAAGATACTAGCAATATTTTCCTCCTCCCATCTTCTGAAAATAAATACTCTATGTCATCTTCATGTTTCACACCATCATGTTAGAAAAAACATCTTCCTGTTAGATTTAAAAATGGAAAAGAGACTTTATCTACAGCCCACTTTATGTTTAATGAAATGTTTTTCTTTCCTTGTATTTTTCTTGATAACAGATAAACCAAATCATTACTTTCTCCAGTTTTAACTTGGAGTTACAGATAATATAGTATTTTATTTATTTTATCCTTCATTTCCTTTTGATGGAGGCATTAATTTCTGTAAAGGCGGATGTGAATAAGTTGCTAAATGAGCAGTGGTTTTCTTAAATGCAAATGTCCACTGAAACTTGTCAAACCACACAATGACTAAACCTCTCCTACATATCCTATCTGTATAAAAAGCACACACATGTAAGTTAACTACCAGATGTCTTATAATGAGTACTCAGCTATAACTGAAGCTCCCCTTTTCTTTACTTTTCTGTTGATTTACCCACATTAATGCTTTTACTGTCTACCTAGCTCAGTGTTCTTACGTAGTGGATCTCAAAGTGTCTCAGTGTAGAAGAGTGTTGAAAAAGGTGGTAGGTAAGCGGACTCGGCAGACATTTCAGGTTCCCAGAGATGAGCAATTTATTTAAAGTTACCTCCATTATACATAAAACTTAACCAAAACTCCCCAAAATGAACTTAGAACAAAAACCACCACACCCATAGATTCAGTAAAACAGCTCACCTGTCCTTCATTATCTGAATCAAGCTTAAACTGATTATATATGGGCCTGTCAATTTACCTTCAGTTAGTCTAGCCAGTAGCTTGAGTTGAGAGAGCTAAAACTCAGTACAAATAGCTGAGAATCACTCAAACTCACTACTCTCCTGATTAACACAAGTTTTCCCCTTCTGTGTGTTTGCAGATGATATAATGCAGATGCAATTGCTGCAATGGTCCCTTAGAATTGGAAAGGATGCATTAAATTTGACAAATTAAAAGTATCTATTTCTCAAATAGATACAAATTTACAATAGTTAAAGGATCATACTTACCAGTTGTCCGTTTAGAGAATATTGAAACAATTTCTCTCAGTTATCTCAAGAACTGGTTTTTTTTTCACAATTCGCCAGTTTTGGGGATTGAATTGCAACAATTTTTCTTGACACGCAAACAAAGAAGCTCTGGAGAAGTTTTTTTTTTTTTTTTTAGTTTTGATTTGATTGCTACATAGTCCAAAAATAGAAATCAAGAGTCAAAACTGTTTTTTTTTTCATCTGTTGATTCATTTTAGATGAAAAGAATCAGCTTTCTGGGATTTCCTTTTCTGAATGATTGAGTACACATCAAGACATCTTAAATCGATTCATTCTTATACATTATTAAACTCTGTATCATTGGAACATTGTTTTTTTTTTTTAATGAAACATTTTATAAATGTTACAAAGTTACAAAGGGAAACATAACTGTAACTAATGATTTTATCTTTATTTATTAAATACCAGTCTAATAAATGTAAAATGTGGTGACATTTTTGCAGCAGCTATAAAATATAACAATAAGATACATTTAAAAAAATTACAAAATTTTGTCTTCAATTTTATTTTTAAAAATCCAACCACCCTGTAGGTTGTCCAGTTATTTCTGCTTTCTCACAAATACTTCTGTGAGCCACGTTGCAGGAAGCATCAAACCAACTGTTCAGATCAGAGGTTTCATCTTTTACCCCCATTCTTGCACAGTCCTCTCCATCAGGATAATCCCCTTTCCAATCATCTGGCTCGTCGTAGCCCCAATAAGTCAAACTAAAAAAAGAACAGAAAGAGGTGTTCAAGTGAAAACTGATAAGTTTGATGCTGTAAATGAACAAAAATATTCCCAATAATCAAACCTTTTGTCCAGTAGCGAGCCATCCACCCACAACCATCTACCCTCTTCTGCTGAGT